ATCAAAGTATCTGCAAACCTTTTGTGCTACTCATCCGTTCATTTAGTAACCAATTATACGTACTGTCTTGAATCCAGCTCTTTCCATTTCAGGCAGTTTTTTTTTTTCGTGCGTTTGTTCGAAACCGGTTTTTCCTGCCTAATTGAAAGCCTTGGGAATATTCCATTTTCTGAGCGTTTTGTTTTTGAAACTTTTGTTTTGTCTTTTACCTTTCTACTTCTGCCGATTGACAAACTTTTCTTTTCTGATTCATCACAGTTCGAGGATCCCCCGGATTGTCGCTGTAGAGCTTCGAACAACCGAAACACATGCATATGTCGAGTGCAGCTATACCAGGACTCTGCTTTCAGCTGCGTGGTCTTCCGTTCGTATCCGTCTTCTGTAATGCATAATTCTGGACGCAGATTTGTATTTTTACTTTTATTGTTAGCGTACTGGAAATGCGTGTAACCAAGCCGCAAGCACCGGATAGTGCTTTAATCATCGGCATAGCAAAAAAAGAAAAAGCCGAGCATCTCGAATTATTCAAACTGTAGAACGCAACAGAAAATTGGTCGTAAAGCCACTGAATAACCCTGTAAGCAGCAGGGGCAAAATCCACTCAGTTTCTCAAAGCTTGCTTTATTGAAGTTGCATGGATTTTACTCACTTTCTGTTTCGTCGTTTCGGCCTTGGTGATATTTGTTGCCTGGGGTTTTAGTCTGTTCCTGAAAATTCTTTCCAAATATACGTTTGTTTAGTTATTGCTTTTGCTGCCTCTAAACAGAAGCGTGATGTGCATTTCCGTTACATAAAATTGCGCCGAAACATCAAATAATTTCATGTTTTGAGTTTCATTCCAGTGAAGATTTGTATGTACGAATGATGAGTGGAAATCGATTGCGGTATTTTCATGTTTTAAAAGCTGTAGAACTACTTGTCTCCTAATGCGGTGTGATCTAAGTTTGATTACAGCTGCTATTCCTATGGTTCCAGCATTTGCCATCATGTCTCTTTTGTCATCACTGCAGCGGAAAGCTTCATTCTGCTCGCTTAGTGAAACTGTTTGATCTGTAGCCAGATTCGAGGTTACATCCATTTGATTCAAAAAAAGACTGCAACTTTCGGTGGCACTCATCCCTTGACTTCTGAACTGTGCGCTTGTTTAATAGACTGTCACAGGTTGGGGATGTATGTTCGTTTTCTTGGGGATGCTTTTTCTTTGTAATCAAACAGAGATCGGTTTTATCGAAAGGTTTTCCGTCCTCTGATATTTTGCTGGGCACATGGCTTGACGGTGGTACATCATTACTGCTCGATGTTCTTTAAATTCTCTGAATTGTCCTATAGCCGATCATTCACAGTTTTACTGCATATAACCACTGCTTTGTATTTTTGTGCTGTTGCTATGTTATTACGCTGCTTTATATTTTTGGTGTTCGTTTGGTTAAAAGTGATCGGTGATTTTAACGAAAAATATAACCGACAACTCAGAAAAAAGTGTTTTATTATGGGTTTCCGGAAAGTTCAGGACTGACAGTGGTTTATCTGGCATTCAGTCCCACATTTGAAAAGCGGAGTACTCCACGGAAAGAGCGTTCTTCGTTCCGACTAGGCAGTGACGAACTCTTGTGGACTGCGCCGTGACGAGTGTTGAAATCCCACCTTAGCATCTGAAGCAGTTCTGTGCGCAGGGCAAAGATTCGGCGGGAGAGAGGGAGTAAGCTTGTTTGGCAAGAGAAGCGTCAGAATTATTAAAATGGGTGAGCATCCGGATAAAAACGAGCCAGCTCCAATCGCAAGTGGCTGAATTAAGAAAAGGAGGAACAGGGAGTGGGGGAAGGTGTGGTGTGAAATGATGCGGTGGATTTAATCAGAGAACGATCAAGGCAGATTGGCGGGGGAAAATGGCAGGAGGGGCTCGAAGTTTTATAAAAGCCTTTCCGGAATCCCGAACAACCCGGGAGTGAATACTTCGAGTTATCCAAAAATTGTTGGGTTGGCTTTGTTGTTGATCAAGCGTTTCATAATATCTTTCCGCCGTATCAGGAACAGGTTGACGTTCGGCACAACATGACCTGAATTAAAAATCCATGAATTTCTGCTTTTCTCCCTTGCAATGGGGAAATTGCGCCCTTTTGAAAATATGGTACATGCGAACGCTGAACTTTTGGAGCATGGATTGGGGATCATTTTAATAATTCCCGACAGACGTGGTGGCCAGTCTCAATTCTTTTAGCTAGAAGCATCTGTTGGAAAAAACAGTACCGTTAGCAACGAAAACCTGCGAGGGAACTGTGCGAGAAATGCATCTTGGCACCGGCATTCGCTGCGCTGGCGAATTATCTAGCTAATGATGGTGACGAATTTATGAACTGTCTACGGCGGATTAAAGGTCTAGGAGGGGTGGCTTCCGAATGCGATTGTGCTCTGTCATTAGTGCTCGCGCTTCAACCTAGGTGGCTGGTTATAATCAGATGCGGCTGCAGCAAACGCATGTCAAAAAGAATGGGCAGAGTGTTGCGCTTCAATCTTGATGTAAAATAAGACTGCCACTTATGAAATGCTGGATTGCCAACATACTGGTTAAGAATGAGCTTTGTTTGTGGGGAAATTTTCAAAGTATTGAACAACTACCGTAGTGCATGTGGCGGTCTGCCATGAAATTTAAATATTTGATGCTGAGTGGCATCCGTTCCGTTGGGTCTGAAAGCGTTAGCGGAAAATCCAGAGTTCCTTGCAGTACTCCACCACCGTAGTTTTTGGCCAACAGACGACCATCCAAGTCAAAAAGCTCGTTTACGCCCAGAATTGGAAGGTCAAAATGTCCTAAAAAGGTATGCTGTATGCTTGCAGACGCACATGTCTGTCGTTCCCGTCCAGTGTAGATTACATTATCAAGGCCCAAGAATGAGACCTAAGAAGTTACCGGCTGCTTTAGCTGCTAGGAGAAAAGTGATAATAAAACAATATCTGTCATAAATATTAAAGTACGCGAGTTAATTATTTTGGCTGAAGCCAATGGTTAGAACATGGGTGAGACGGGAGGTATAGAACCTTTCAGACAACTCGAGTCTATGGCGCAAAATTTCAGTCTCCTGGCTTACTTAGAATTGTTGAGTGATTTATTCTGGCGTAGTTTACATCGCCATATTGCTTTTTCTGCTTTTTTTTGCATTTATGCAATGCAGAAAACGCATATGCATGAGAGGTTGTATGTGTGCGCGCCGTGCGTCTGTACCGATTTTTCATCTCGAAACCTACAAAAGCTAAAGGGCTGAAACTTCGGGAAGTTAATCTGCATGCACGTGCAAGCTCCCATTCTCAAAATGGGCGGTCTTACCCGCGTGGTGTCCAAATACGGGCTCGTGAAAGTTTTTTACGGGTAATTCGCTAAGTCGGAAACCAGAAAAGCTAGGAAGCTAAAATTTTAAACGGATATTTCCTGACAGTCCTGGCGGCCAGTCTCAATTATTTTAGCTAGAAGCATTTTAAGATCTAAGAAGCATTTTGAGACCCGGTAGCAACAGAAACTGCGGCGAATTATACAAAAAACGCA